AGATAACCTACTAGTAGTTAAAGTGATGACAAAGTAGAATATGAAGAGTTTATTCAAATACTGCAGGCAAGTTGTTTCCTGGAAAACATTGTCCAAGAAATCAATAGTCCAAAATACGATAGTTTGGATGGTTTACTGTCCAATGACCAAGAGCACGTAGATAAAGGGCAACTCAATGATTTGGACATAGTTATCATTAAATTCCTTCTCTGACTTGACCTTGGAAAAAAATCAGGTGAAACATGAGGTTGAGTCCATGTCTTGAAGGCATGGGTCCCACAAAAAAACTGTTTGCTTAAACAGATAATTTGAGAAGATTGTATGAAAAAGCTTTCCTGAACATATCACCTTTTACTTGGTTGAAGGGCTGCCAAGTGAACTCATGTGCCCGCCATATGGATCTCAGGGATATTTCTGCTCTGACTGAGATTATTTGTATGGTGATAAAGTTTTAAGTGGCCATATCAAAGCTGCCCGAGTCAATAAAAGATGTTTCTAGAATGTATACTGTATTTCATTCTGCTCTCAAAACAGGAACATTGTGCAATGGTTTTCCACTTCCACGGATGATGCAAGGTATTGTGATCCATCCATCATAGTTTCAATAAAACAATATAACTTTCCAGATCAAAAGGAGAAAATCTAGCAAACATGCTTAGAGTGTAAGGGATGGAGTTCGTGTCTCAATTACAGCATAAAATGTTAATGGATATGAGACTGCCCATATATTATCTAAAGACAATAAAAACATACACATTTACTTCTGACTTATGTTGTAGTAAATGCAGAAGGGTTGGGGTCAATCAGGGATTACAGTTACTCCATTTAGTTAAAGCTAGTAAATTCTAAGAATTGGAAAGTTGTGACAATCAGCTTGCACCAAGAGAAATGATACCTGATTAGGACGCCCATAGGTTTGGCAAGATGTAATATGCTACTTTATATGAAGTATGAATATAAAACTGAATTTTAGACATTATAGGACCCAGAACATTACTTGATTTTGCTACACATCAGCCATTCTGAGTGAAGCTGCCATTTTGATATGGAAGCGGAATTTCTTGATCACATAGTAAGATAGAAGGTTCACTTAGTCTGTAAACATCACAACATTCAAGGACTGACTACAAGTTGAGGCCAATAAAGAAGATTGAAGATCTTTATATTTTGGCTTGATCTTATACTCATCTTACATTGATAATTCACCAAGAAAGATACTTAATTAAACTCTGTTCACACTAAAGATCAAATGCAAATTACTTATGTGTCAAACACGGGTCTACAAGTTATTTTTTATTTTTGCCAACGAAAGTAGACAATGTAGTGGCAAGAAGCTCTGCATTTTATATCTATTTACCTTCCAAATAACGTTTTGATATATCAGTTCATCTCATCCCTATTAGACTCTGTTGGCTCCTTGATATATGAACATAGGTTTTATGACTTTTACTTAAGGGAGAACCTGTGATAACATGTTATGACCATATCGTATTTCTGTTACTACAATGAACTTTACTAATTTTCATAAATCTTATAACGACTTCATTCATGTTTAAGATGTAAAAATTAAAGCTCTATTATTATTTTATATGGTAGGAATAATACTAACTTAACTATAATAAACATGATCTAGACAGCCCATACACCTTTGACCACTGGTCTTTGGAGATAAATGATTAAACTGTTGGTGAATGTCTGACATGTATTTTCTGAGAATTTATATGAATGCTCATTTTCACTCAGCGTTAAAAACAATAAGAGATTATGATCTTTCATATGATATGGATGATGGATAATACATCATATTAATAACGTTGCCGATACTACAGTGAATATCCATTTTCCCTAAATATTATAACGCTTACAAATTCTCAATATCTATAAATAAATAAGTTAAATTTAGTTACAATCAGTGTCGTTATATATCAAACGAATCGGAAAGATATTCGTCCTTGTTTTCAACGTGTTCAAATATTGCATGACAATAGAACAGGTTGGTTCTCAAATTGAGGTCATTAACAGTTATATGATAAATGAACAAAGGTCAGTAGTAGAGTGTAACTGACGAGAAAGTGTACAAGAATTGTATGCTAACTGAAATATACCAAATGTACTTGTATCAAAGTTAATTTAATATTGGCAATCCGGCATTTTATAATCCATACATGTTACTGTTTGTGTTATTCCTAAATATCAAAAGTTATCAAACTGACAGCTTGTCAGCGGAATTTGCTCCTTGGATAAATTTGAACATAACCTAAATTGTAAGATGGACGATACTGCAATTTCTTTAAGTTTCTAAACAAATACATCTTGAAGAAATGAGAATGAGTATTAGATCTTGGTAAGTCATATTTATAAACAATAGTAGTTCTAAATTTAAAATTAAAACACAAAATAACTTACTAATATACTCTCAAATCCTGAGAATGTCATGAATGTTCATTTAGCCTTCTGTATCGTTATGTAAAGTGGAAGAATAGATAAATTTGTTTTTTACTGAGTGTTAAGTTCAATGGCATACAAAATCCTTTATTCATTAATAGCAAATTGTTCTTCCCCCCCTCTCATTCTGTATATCTTCATAAAATTTGGCAGTGTTTCAGTAAACATTACAAGTCTATTATATACAAAAAGTCAGATTTTTTTAGAGAAGTATTTTTACTAAAGATTTGTTGGTGAATATATCTAATTTTTTTTTACCAATATGAGTGCAAAGTCATTTTCATATTAATATTAAAAAAATATTTTCCTCAAATATCTCAAAAATCTCAAATGTCATTTGCGTAATCTCTAAAACCTAAATACATCTAAATTACTATTTTTTCTTTCTAGAATGATTTCAAATTGTAACACAAAACTATATTTGTTTATCCTAAATAGCTTTCTCCTGGTAACAGTATACATCTACTTATACTTAAATTTTATTATTTTATCACCCTTTGAACTGTGTCTAACTACTATTATAAGTTGTAATTCACTTAAGGAACGTGTGCCTAATGTTATGTTATTATTATCGAATTACGTTACCCATGAGCTACTCTGAGATGCTCACGTGCAGCCCACATTACTATAACCTTGTTTCAAGATCCATGTGAGGAAAATATCTGTTTTGAAAAATGTAAAATGTTTTTTCTGAGCCTACAAATTGGAATGTTACATGCATTGAACAAATAATACTGCTGGTGTCACAAAATAATTATATTTAACCTTAATGTGAAAAAATATAGACTAACTGAAATGAACAAATAGTAATATGAACATATTGTACATAAGCTGTATGCATAAGAACTAAAGACTCCCCAGTGGCACGGCGGTATGTCTGTGGACTTACAAAGCTAGAAACCGGGTTTCGATACCCGTGGTAGGCAGAGCACAGATAGCCCATTGTGTAGCTTTGTGCTTAACTTCAAACAAACAATAATAACTAAAGATTAGAATAGTAGATTCATTGGTTGTTAGAACAATAACTAGAATTACTGCCAAATTTATTTCATTTCTATAAAGTTGATGAAATATTAAGACACTTGATATCTGTTGATCCACATCACCCTCTGGCGGTTCACTTGTGACTATCTGCACTCTTATCATAGCTGATCTCATTGTCCTACCCCCTCTTCTAGCAACACGCTCTCTGGCGCCACTTCGTGGAACTATGACTCCTAGCAATGTGTCCCTATTAACACTCCCTCTGGTGAGAAAAACTAGAGCTACAATCGAGTTTCAGTACCCTTAGTAGAAAGAGCACAGATTGCCCACTGTGTAATGTATGGGCCGAATTCTTTACTGTACGTGTCTGTGACTTGTTGGCAATACATTTCAACAATAAACAAAGAGCACACAGTTCACTTGTTTTAAAATAATATATTAAAATAAGTCAAACATATATATAAATATTCGTTACACTGTTGGTTATCACAGTTGTATCTAGAGCTTGAAATAATTGTCTCCTTTATGTCAATGCCCACTCAGGCTGGTTCAGTTACTTTATAACACAGTTTAACAAGACAAATTATTTCTTCTCTACTCTGTTATTATAATACAATCTATGCTATTTTCACTTTAGAAATCGCTACTATACGCTCTTTATGGCTAAACTCCAAATCACGCAGTTTAGATCTAACTAACTCGAACTACATTTTGGACGTGTATTTATTGCCAGACAGAAGTCTAGACTGTTTCCCACACTACTAGATATTATGATGCGATAATACTAAATTGAAACAACATAAAAAATTGAAAAGGTTCTAGTAACATGACACAATACTATAACAACCACCAATTCGTAATTAATGAACTATCTACATTATAACTATCGCATTAAACGTGTATATCTAACATGTAACTTTGTGTTTTACAACAAACAAAAGTTTGTATCAGTGTTAGTTATCGCATATATTCAGTTCCGCGATCGATCACGGAGACGTAACAGTAAGTTTATTTTTACAATAGGTATAATATCATTAGCGAGGTATTTCCGTTTGAGCGTCATTTGTAAACTTTAGCCTACAAATTACAACAGCTCTTTCTGTTCTAAACGCCGTTTTCTTTTTACTGAAATCTGATGAAAGGCTGTTGCCCGAAACATTATTTTCACATTTGCCAGTAAATTTATTTTAATTTGGCGAGTGTTTCAGCTTGTTTGTCTTCTTATACATTATGTAATTTTCTTGTCTACTCAATTCTTTTATTACAAAAACACATAATAAACTTTTAACAATAATACAATTAAAATAATTTTAACTACAATTTAGTTTATGTTTTGGAAAACAGATGGCACACTCTAATTGTGTGTTAAACTTATTCTATTATTTATTGATAATTTTTTATACTTTTATAATTCGTTATATTATTTTTGTTAGACTTTAAAATTTGTATATTTTGAGAAGTGAAAATAATCCCTTGTCATATTTTTCTCACCTGAGCCACCAATGAATTTGAATTTGAAGCACAGAAATGTCACGTGATAACTTCTTTCTTCTACGATCTACGTACGAGATCTCTGTATGTTGTCTAATGCGGTACAAATTTTGCGGTATATGTGGTGGGTTGTTGCTTTTTGATATAAAGTGTTTTTGAAGATATGCAGTTGATATTTAAAATTTATAGGCGCTAAAATACTACTTGCTGGTTTCCATTGGGCAAATCATACCGAATTATGGCTGGTGACACAAGTGTTAAAGTTGCAGTAAGGTAAGCAAAAACTAAAAATAAAATATTGTTATACATCATAAATTATTGTTGTTGTTTTTCTTATTCTATTGGCTTAATAATTATAATTTTTCGATTACCAATATTTATTAAACTTTTAATACATAACACTCGGAAATTATGCTCATTTGTAATTATCTGACCGTGCAGCCCAAAAATACAATGGGTTTGCAGTTGAATTGCAATACTGCACTGCACCTCTATGCTTTTAGATGCATATAAATGTTTTTACAATGCGTATGTTAATTTGAAATACGGGGAATGTGCTACAAAAATTGATAAGAAGCTTCTTTTTGATACACCACATCACTCCTAACTTTTTTCTTTACAATTAGTTGTAAAAGAAAAAAATAGACAAAACTTGTATAAACTAAAAAAAAAAAAAAAAAAATACAACAACAAACAAACATGTAGACCACTGCATGTTATTGTTAGGTGTTCGATAATCGCCTGTAATTCATTTATAAGTTCAGTTATGGAAACATGTAAGACTAAGATAAGGCAGAGAAATTGTATATTATTATTATTTATGTATAAGAAATATAGAGACATGAAATAAACCAAGGTGATACAAGGATATTTGTGTGTGTTTGAGACACCACTTTTATCCACCAGAAGCAAAATTAAAGGTAACTTTTCAAATCAACACACCCTTCTACTGAACGTTTAAAAACATTTAAACTAACAACACCAACCACATAATTAGGCAGACAAAAAAATCGTCCAAGGAAAGGTGGATCTAGGCTTCAAGACCTTAAACATTTTACCCCCTGTAGTGTTTGGGTTTGCATTTCTATTCTCTTTCAATTACATTCCACCAACTAAACAGATTTTCCAAGCCCAAACAGTTTCAAAACACCTGAATCAAGTCATCTTTGTCTAGTTCTCTATTCTGAATAAAATAAGTTCAAATTTTTAAGCCTTCCGTGATAATGTTACAAAACTATATTCTATATTTCTTCAATGAATTCAGATCTAAATAAGTATGTCAAAAAGTTTTCAAGTTGAACATAATTGTATAAATCAAATTTTCAGACAATTGGTGCAATACGGTGTCATTCAGTTTAAATTTAGTTTTGTTTTATGTGATGCATGCATAGTTAGTTATGAGTGTTAGGAAACATGCCACTTGTATCTATTCTGTTGAGAAGACAAGCAAAATACCTTCACAGTTAAGGAGCTGAATTTTGATATATATATATGTATGTATGTATATTCTAATTTATATAAAAGGTTTTCTTTTTATCAAGGAGAATCTGTACACTAAAACAAATCACTAAGGCTCTATATGAGGGCTGTTTGAAATTTTCTTTATTAAAGCTGTAATGTAGAGAATTTATTGGCGAGTATGATATATTATTTATGGGTTTTTTGTTGTTGTGGGCCACCAGATGATTAAATACAATTATGCACTTACTGTATGTGCATATTTACTTATACACTACTGAGTGTGTTATATTAGAATGATTAATTTTGAATATCCAAATCAGATAATCATGTAGCAACCACAGCTGATATAAGGAATTACATACTGACATTGTTTGTCATTTCATAGATGGTTTGATTCTGTCAAAAATTGATCATTTTAGGGAAGGGTATAAACAACCCTTTGTGAAACCAAATATTCATTCACTCAGATCATAAAGATTTATCCAGATCGGGGAGTTAGAATTTTGAGAACTGAGATATCGCTTGTATTTAATAACTTTGGAAAAATAAGGGAACATGGACCAAGTTGTACTCTAGCCATAGTTAACAAAGTGCAGCATTCATATGAAGACATACCAGTCAAATTGACGATGGATTTCTATGCAACCATAGTGTTAAAACAAGTACTTGGAAACTGCCAATGTTGTACACTAGATGAAATCTGGAAAGGCTGCAGGGAGTTGTTGTGTGCTTTGGGCATGATAACTATGAAGGAGCTTTTTTGCAATGGAAACTACACTGCAGGCCTGTTGTCAAGATGCACATTTGTCTAATAGAGTATGAGCGGACAGGGAGGAATGAACTTTAATGATGTCATAAGGATCCAAGTTGTTTTACTATAACTTACTCAACCTCTGTATGTACATTTATTTGTATAAATAGAGAAAGTAATTATCAGTGGGTCGTAGAGAGCGTATTAAGTATGCTTATTCTTCTTTTATGTTTTTGTTAATTCTTGTGTTTTTGGTCTTTAAGTGTATTGCCTTTTCATGGAATATTATGTAAGATTTTTCTAGTGGTAATATTTTACAAAATCAATAACTGCATGTCCATTATAGTGTGTAAAAAAATTGAAGAAAGTTATTAAATGTGTACAAGGAACATGCTTTTACAGAATTTTGTCACAAAAGTAAGTGATAATATGTTGCTTAATTTGCCCTACACAGTAAATACAAAAATAATTCAGTATGATTGTACTCTAAACTTGTGTTTTGTTCAGGAATAATTAAGTGAATATTTGGAAAAAATATTTTAAGTGGTATATTTTATATGACAACAAGTACCTATAATTATAAAGGAAGCAAATATGTATTAGTATAATCCAACAGGTAATTAATTTTATAACAAAAATATAAAGCTACAACAGATAAACTTATTTCAAAAGTTTTACAGTTAAAGTTTCTCAAAATATTGTGTATTTTTATCATACTCTATGTGCAATAATCTTGTTAAAAATAATGAGAAAAGGAATTACTCATTTCTGGTTAAGGTTTAAAACAAAGTAAAAAAACAGGATTTTCTGCATAGAAGAAAAATAGCCTTTTCACTGATGATTCAAGAGACATGATGAAATCAATGGTATCTGTGTATTAACACTGTTGTTTTTCTAAAAACATCTTGTAAGAGTATTTTTTTCACAAGCTTAATGTTGTTTAGTGTTATTTAACTATCATTTTTAATTAAGTTAAAAAAGGATGTAATTGTGGGTCCATTTACTGTTGATATTTTTTCAAGGTCAATTGAATTTATATTTAAGCTAATACTTTTTGAATCTTATGTATAATATATTTGGTGATTTCATTGTTTTATTAAATGTATATAATCACTTGTTTCATGTAATTGTAGAATCCAGCATTTTTTTTTAATCAGGAACCAAATTTGAACCAATTTTGCAAGCTTGTAAATTTGTATTACTTGCTTTTCTCATAACAGATGCTCATAATCGTTTATTGCATTGTTTGTTGTGAGCTTGTACAGGATTATTTTAATTGATGTACTTTACTTTTAAATGATTTTAGTTCTCATCTATTTAGTTAGCTTACTTTTCAGCATTAACTCTTAGTAACTATTACAGACAGTATAAAAATATTTATGTATTCACACTCTTCAAACAAAAACTGGAGATTAAAACAAGCAAGGTTTCAGAAGGCCATTCATGTCACTCAGTAGAAATTACCAACACAAGTTAAATGTATCTATGTAAGTTCATGATTTATAAACTTTGAAAATTCATTTGTGATATTGTATTGTTTTGTGTTATATTTTAATGATACAGTGTTAAAAAGTTTTTGTTTTGAAAATAACATTTTAAGTATAAAAGAAAGTAATCAACAAAATACATTTGATGTATTGTAAATATTGAACCACACTGAATTGATTTAGCCAGAACTAATTCACTGTCTTTTCAGATTGAATTTTTTAAAATATTACAGAAATTAGATATGATATAAGATAAATTAAAAAGCTGATCAAACTGGTGTATTTATGTGTTTTACACTCACCAAAAAGAAACCTATAATTCTATAGGTATTTGAAGAACTTGTAGCATTCCGACAAAACTAGTCTG